CGGGGGAAATGGAAGCTGTGAGAAGATGTCCTGTGGGCTTTGGACTATCTCATCTCATGCTCTCTTTCTTACTCTCATATATCGTGTTCTTGTTATTAGATGTCTTCAAGTGAGCTCTGAATCCTTGTGCTACACGGAACACATCAAAACACTGTCCGACCCTGGGCCATCCTCGAAGTTGTTGCAGTGTTTGAGTTCATTCCTGCAGCCACTATGTCATTCTATCTCATTGATGACCTTCCTCTTTTGTTCACTGACACTCTATTTCACAACAAGCATGATGTCCTTTTTCCAGAAACTGGTCCTTGCTGATGACAAGTGCAAAGTACATTTTAAAAATCCTCACTTCTAAGGAACATTCTGGCTGTACGTCTTCCAAGACAAATTTATGATGTAGCTAATATTCTTTTTCAAAGCTACAATACTAACACGCCAATTCTTATTCACTAACCAGAATTTCCATGCATATGAGATGATATATATGGATTGACACAGTGGCAACAGAAATGAGTTCAATCATCACCATTGCCAAGATGGTACAAGACCCGGCACTGCTTTGTTCCATTGTCCTTTGGGTTGCTGTGAGTGAGAACCCATGCAATGTATGAGTTGATGTCTACATAAATACCAATATCTAGATCAAGATATTAGATAGGAATGGCACTGAAAACAGTTAATGCCTCCTAATGCTCTCATCAGCTGTTAACCTAAAGTTTCGAGGTTCCAGTCCATCCAGAGACATCTTGGGGAAAAGATCCGGTGACCTACTTCCAAGGACCAAAAACTGCCATTGAAACTCGTATAGCACACAGTTCTACTTAGACACACCTAGAGTTGCCATATATTAGAATCCACTGTGATGGGCAATTGGTGGCTATGTAAGTATAGAGATCCAATTATCGATTGGGATCCTTGTACCTCTTCAACAAATCAGCAGCATTTTTTACAATCTTCACTCAGAATTTTGGTAGGCGAGCAATCAGCTGGCTTTGGAAAAGAAGCTATCTCACATGATTGCCTCTTGGCTGTTTGGGACAACTATTAGTCTTTTATTTTAATCTGTCTTTAAGTGGAAAGGGTGAGAATTTTGAAAATGCCTTTCAAGATCTTGTCGCTATGTCTCCTGCAGAAAACCTATCCCCAGAGGAGCCGAAATCAAACTCCACCCGGAAGGCAGTGGGAGACGACCTCTCTGCTCTTAGCGAGAGAGACGCGTGAAGATACAAGGCGGACAGACGGAGTGGGAAGTCAAGCCCAAAGCCCTTCTCTTCACAGATTTTTCTCTGTTGTTCTTTCTTAGAGTCCATTTCCTTGAGACCCTCCAACTCACTCCACCAAGTTGCTTCCAACCAGAGCCAGGGGCATTCAGAGGTGGGGATGGAAGCACATCCTCCTTTTCCTCAGGACATGCCCTGTGTCCCTCGTGGGCACTGTGGCAGCATTTGGACCAGAACCCAGATGTCCAATTGCTAGTCTTCAGCTCCCTCTTTGCCTCCTTGCAGCCTCCTTTCATCTTTACCCTGCATCCCCAGGGCCTTCGGCCTCTGTGTTCTCTAGGCACCCCCCACACCCCTACACAC